GCCCTCTTCACCTCCGGCTGCCGCCCCTCCCCTCTGCTCCCGGACCCCTCCTCCCTCCCTCCCTCGTCGGATCCGGCGCCCCCTCCTTTCCCGGCGGCGTGGCGGCAGGGATCCGGCGGCCCCTCCTTCCCCGGCGGCGTGGCGGCGGGGATCCGGCGGCCCCTCCTTCCCTCGTCGGAGGTGGGGTCCTAGGTGCAGTCGAGCCGTGGGCGGAGCTCCTCCTCGGTGCGCGCGCGGCCATGGCAAGCAACAGCAGCAGCCGAGCGCAACGGCCATGGCAAGCAGCACGAGCAGCCAAGCGCAGGCAAAGGGTGCGGATGGGGCATGCGGCGTGGTGGCGGGGTTGGGGCGGGTTGGGACTTCCCCGTCCTCTCCATCTCCCGTGCTCGCCCAAGTCCGTGACTGCTCTCGGTTGGGGAAGGAGAAGACAGCCGCTGTCGTCGCCGGCGCCTCCGCTCCAGCGTGTCCTCCTCCAACGCCGAGAGCAGATCCAGGTGCCCCTCCTCTAGATGCGCCCGCCCATCTTCTCCTTCGCGTCATCTCTTTCTCCTTCCCCTTCTCTTTCTGCTTCTTGATACGACTCATCAATTCGATTGCAGGCAGCGTCCCCTTTCCCTTCCCCATCGGCGGCACCTGGAGCCGCAAGCAGGAGAGGAGGAGGCGCTGAAACGGGAAGGCAGGAGCGCCGGATAAAAACAGGTAGTCTCTGGGTGAAGGCAGGAGCCGCCCGCCGCCAACACACCCTTACCGTGTCCTCCCTGGACCCTGAAGTAGTCTCCTCCGGTCCTCACGCAATTCGTTTTTGGCTTGGTAGCTGTAGCACAGAGACTCCGTTCGTGTTCCCTGCCCCAATGTTTTTGGGTGAAGTATAACAACAAGTGACTTCTCAACAAGCTCATTCTTGGATTGGATTTTTATTAGAAAGTTTAATTTGGATAGAGTGATCTGATATTTTCTGTAGGAGTTTAATTAGAAAGTTTAAAGCTTGCAGAATTCACCTTTACCTTTTAGTATTGAAACAATTTCTTGCTCTAGAACAGAGCGTCTGAGTCAGTTGCAAGTTATTTTGTTGTGTATCAAGATCCTTCTCTAAGTTTCAGTTTCAGGAGGGATCTCCACATGCCAAGCACTACATCTGGACTGTAGTTTCAGATTATAGTGATATCGAGATTGGCATAGTTTTTTGTGTTTATTTAGCTGCAGCTGCTCCACACACTTTCAGTTGTGATTCTGCTGTACTGCCTTTCCAAATTCAGCAGAGTTAACCGTGATGCACTCAACCTAAAATAACATCACTGAAAAAAAATTCCCAAAAACACTCAGCAAACAATAATAATATGCTGAGAAAAAAATTATTTTTTTTCTTTGGAAAATAGGTTTGCCGAATAATAATCATTTGCCGAGTGTATTTTGGAAAAACACTCGGCAAACCACTTTCTTTTTGCCGAGTGTCAAATTTGACACTCGGCAAACCATTTGCCGGTGCGTGATAAAAAATACTTGGCAAATAGCTGTTTGCCGATACTGTAGATGCCGTGTGTTGTTTGCCGAGTGTTACACTCGGCAAATCCTTTGCTGAGTGTTTTTTTTTTGTCTTTGTCGAGTGCCTGTGGCACACGGCAAAATCACTGTTTCCGGTAGTGCATGGTGGATGATTTAGATGCGTTGATCCGATTTTAATACAGATATGAGATGTAAGAATTAAGGTGGGTAGGAAACATAAGGGTGAGAGGCTCTTATATATATATATATATATATATATATATATATATATATATATATATATATATATATATATATATATATATATATATATATATATATATATATATTTTAGAGCGCCAGTGAGCTCCGCCCAACTCCGACGAGGATGTCGTGAGAGTAAATTTTCCTCCTCCGTAAAACCAAAGTAGACTGTTGTCGTGTAAAATCTACCGCAGACGCTATTTAATCCGCCGCTTCCTTTTCTCTCTCCTTTCCCTCATTTGGGATCCAGATCGGCAGGAGCTCTGAGAAGGCGAATGAGGCGGCGGCGCTCCTCCCTCTCACCTCCCGGCGTCATGGGAGGAAGACGAGTCTTCCACACACAGGCGATCGTGAGGGTACCACTCTTGTAGTCTATGGCGGTCACTTTGTACTGGATAACGGCTGCTGGGAGAACCAGAATGGTGTCGTCGCCGAGCATCCTAGCTTCATACACGGTGCTCCGCATAATGATGAGGTATTGCTGGATTCGAGCGGAAAGGGTACCTGATCTCCGGACCATGTTTGCTGCACCGAGATGGTGGGCAGTTGCTGAAGAAGTCGGCATCAGCCCAAGCCATGGCCCCATACACTCCATCTATGAGAAGACACAACAGCAGGGCTATTACATGAAATTCAGTCATCTCTCTCTTTTTTTTGTTTCTTTTTTTCAGCAGAGCTATGAAACAAGAGCATGCGGAAGAGGATCGGAGGAAGTTGTGGAGTAGTGGTTATGCCGATGTGGAGTGGAGGACGTCCAACTCAAACTCATAACTGTAGTAACTGAGAGAAGGAAGAAGAGGTTGAGGAGGTGGAAGCAAATAAGATGCTCTAAGTTTCCATGAAACTTCCGTGTGCTCAAGTTGACTTAGAGCCAACGCTGCTCAGTCCTGTCTTTGTTGAAGACTTGGAAAGAAAGAAGTTTTGTCCAAGTCAAAAGGCATCTCAAATCATGCCGGGCCTGCTGTGCTTAAATAACTAACTAAAGCTTTTTCTTGACTTTATTTCCGTGACTGCAGATCACAGCTGGTGGGCGAACCAGGGCTTTGCTAGTTTCATGCTCTGGCGTGTCAGATTCTTTGCCATTTAGATTTTCTTTTTTTATCAGAAAATTGTCATCATCGTCTGGTCATCCACATTATTATCGTTCTCGATATGAAAGGGTACCTGATCTCTGGACCATGTTTGCTGAACAGACATGGCGGACACAGCAGCAGAGCTATGATAAGAAATCCACTCAAGCTTCCATATCAATAGTAACTGAGAAAAAGAGGAAGACGTGGAAGTTTTTAAATAAGTCTGTGCAGTTAAATTAGTAAAGACAATTGTATGGCTGAGGAGAAATTCCAAGTTTACATACAGCCCACTGTTTTCTCGTGGAAAGAAGACCACCAGTCAAAAAGTGCGGTGATGCATGTTATTTGACTTGTTAAGTATCTGGTCCAAGTCAAAAACGCATCCCAGTCATGTCAGGCCTGCTGTTCTCAATCAAATAACTAAGCGTCCTTCTCATCCTGTCCATAACCAATTAACATCCTATCTAGCATTCCTGCATCTAAAATCTCTCATGGCGAACTCGTGTGCAGCATTTCTTCATCCTTCTGCTGTCTGGCAAGCTTTACTTGTCTTTATTTCTGTCGCTGCAGTTCGGGCTACAGATGCTGGGGGCCAAGGTCAGTGTCCTCCTTTCTCCTGTGGTGATCTTCACAACATATCCTACCCTTTCTGTAGGCCAGGCGATCCACCTGAGTGCGGTGTAAAAGCATACGAGCTGGTCTGTATCCACGGCAAATCCACAATTCGCATCAACACGGGGACATATTTTGTCGCCAGCATCAACTATATTGATTCGACCACAGACGCACTCCTATTTGAACTTGTCAACAGTAATTAACCTGGATAAAAAAAAGGTAATAGAACCAGGTGTATGAGTCCAGGTCACCTACACGACCCAATACGTTTTAGAATCGGATTCCGTGTCGCGCTAGATAAGAGCTATTCTATCTCGTATGAGCACATGTTTATATAAGTCCGGACGGAAGAAAATCTCCATTATGCGGTAGTTACAAGGAGACGGACAAAAAAAAAAATAGACGGACCAGAAAAAGGTGAAGAAAATTTTTGCCTCTTTATTATTCGGTATAGATAAGGTTCACATAGCCATGAGCAGAGGTCCAAGTCCTTACATTCCATAGTACGGTAAGGTAGGGCTGTTGACATGATCTTCTGCCCGCATGAGGGACAGGAGTCGTCCACACGCGTGGCGAGCCTCAGGGTACCACTCCTATAATCTCTATGGCTGTCACTTTGTACGGGATAGCGGCGCCTGCAGAGGTAACCAGAATGGTGTCGTCGCCAGAGCATCCTAGCTTGATGCATGGTATTTTTGCTCCGCATAACGACGAGGCATTGCTGGATTGGAGCCGGAAAGGGTAAGGGATGGTGGACAGTAGCTGAAGTCGTCCGCATCATCCCCTGCCGTGGCCTTGTACCCTCCATCTTTGAGAAGACACAACAGCAGAGCTAGGACAAGTAATCCAGTCATCTCTTTTAGCAGTGCTATGCAGCAAGTTTTTGAGAACTTAAGTTCTTATGGATTAGCTTCAAGGACCGGGCCAAGTCGTGCAGTGGTGTTATTAATTGTAGTTATGTCGATGAGGAGGAAGTCCGCCAAGGACTCTGATTGAAAACTTGTTGCCGTGCTCTAGGAAGTCGAGTGCGACTGCAGAGTTAACACAAGCCAGTCCTGTCTCATCAACATTAAATAACTGTGGAAAAAAAGAAGCCCTTCCCTTTGGAAGAGGATTATTGGTTTGACTTGGGCCATGTTCCACCAAAATCCAAACTTTGACACTATGCAAAAAGAAGATTTTCCGTCACATCAAACTTGCGGTACATACATGGAGTACTAAATGTTGACGAAATAAAAAACTAATTGCACAGTTTGGTTGTACTTTGCGAGACGAACGTTTTGAGCCTAATTAGTCAACGATTGGACAATTATTACCAAATACAAACGAGTCCTGTCTCATCAACATTAAATAACTGTGGAAAAAAAGGAGCCCTTCCCTTTGGAAGAGGATTATTTGTTTGACTTGGAAAATATTTTGGTCCAAGTCAAGCAGCATCACAATCATGCAGGGCCAGCCTCTGGTAACTTAGTACATTATTGGCTTATCTATAATTAGGCTATCTTCATCACTCCTAACTTCCTAAGCTAGTAGCTAGCTTGCTGCATCCTGCACCGGAACTCTCTCATGGCGAACTCGTGTGCAGCATTTCTTCATCCTTCTGCTATCTGGCAAGCTTTACTTGCCTTTATTTCTGTGACTGCAGTTCTTGCTGTGGATGCTGGGGGCCAAGGTCAGTGTCCTCCTTTCTCCTGTGGTGATCTTCACAACATATCCTACCCTTTCCGTAGGCCAGTCGATCCACCTGAGTGCGGTGTAAAAGCATACGAGCTGGTCTGTATTCACGGCAAATCCACAATTCGCATCAACACGGGGACATATTTTGTCACCAGCATCAACTATACTCATTCGACCTTCTGGGTTGTGGACGCCAACTTGGATATGCACAGCAGCTGCCCTCTTCCTCGCTGGGATCACCTTCCTTACACTTTTCAGGGATCGTACTGGACAAGTGGTAAACATTTCCATGCCGATTTGGCCACTAATGAGGCCTCTTATTGGGCATGCTTTGTTAATTGTTCGCAAGCAGTTACGATCACGAATAATATCCGGTACAAGCCCGTTACTTGCTTGAGTGGGAGCAGTTCGTTTGTTTATATATATGTATGGTGGGGTTGCACAGTCGATTCTCTTGAACCTTTTTGTGGATACTTGGCGGAGATTCCCTTTGGTAGCAAGCTTACATGGTCGTACGGACGTCTAGATCTGGAGGGTAATGCAAGTTATGCAGATATCATAGAAGTGGTAAAGAAGGGATTTTCTGTTGGATTCCCATTGGATGGATATGATTATGACTACCATAATTCTTCATGGGTATTCAAGACATGCCTAAATAATTTTACCAGGTGAGTCTGCACTCTGGACTCTGCAGTTAGTTCTATGTCCTTCCGAGTTTGGTTTTCTCATCATTGCAAGCATTCCTTCTCCAATCCCTTCTTTCGCATAATGCTGACTTGCAGGTACTTCCACGAGCAATTGTCTAGCGGAAGCATCGTGGGTATAACGCGTGCTTTCTTTTGGAGTGATGTATTTCTTCTAAAGTGCGCAGAGAGTTACAATGCCACAACTGTTATTTTAGATTTCCATGTGATATCCGTAGTGACTGCTGTTAAAATCACCACGTTACTTGGTACGTCAGGTTCACCTTCTTCTAATCATCACGACTACAGTCTTCTATATCCTACATGTATGGTTTAATACTTATATACATTTTCCGACTTGTTTGGCAGTACTATTCAGGTTTGTGTTCACAGCACTAGCAGTACAGATGTTCCTTGCCCACAAGTACTGGAAAACAATGATAACAATTGACGCAGTGGAGAAATTCCTCCACATGCAAGAAATGCTTGGCCCAAAGAGATATGCGTACACTGACATTACTGCAATCACAAGCCATCTCAGAGACAAGCTGGGTCAGGGAGGATATGGCTCCGTGTACAAAGGTGTGCTACTCCCAGGCAATGTGCATGTTGCTGTCAAGATGTTGGGCAACTCCAATTGCAATGGGGAGGACTTCATCAGTGAAGTCTCCACCATTGGTAGGATCCACCACATCAATGTGGTTCGTCTTGTGGGCTTCTGTGCAGAGGAGATGAGGAGGGCACTGATCTATGAGTATATGTCCAATGGTTCACTTGATAAGTACATATTCTCGGTCGAGAGAAGTTTCTCTTGGGATAAGCTCAATGAGATTGCTTTGGGCATTGCAAGGGGAATCAACTACCTGCATCAGGGTTGTGATATGCAGATCCTTCACTTTGACATTAAGCCACACAACATCCTTCTCGACAGCAACTTTGTCCCTAAAGTTGCAGACTTTGGCCTCGCCAAGTTGTACCCGAGAGACCAGAGCTTTGTGCCAGCGAGCGCCATGCGGGGAACTATTGGGTACATAGCTCCTGAAATGGTATCTCGTAGCTTTGGCACCATCTCAAGCAAATCTGATGTGTATAGCTTTGGTATGCTACTGCTAGAGATGGCAGGAGGGCGAAGGAACGCATACCAAAATGCAGCCAACTCAAGTCAAGCATACTACCCAGCCTGGGTCTATGATCGTCTAGCCGCACAAGAAGTTGGTGAGATATCTGTTGCGTCTGACATGCATGAGTTGGAGAGGAAACTGTGCATCGTTGGGCTACGGTGCATTCAAATGAAGCCGCAAGATCGTCCGACCATGAGTGAGGTCATAGAGATGCTCGAGTGCGGCACTGATGGCCTGCAAATGCCTTCTAGGCCATTCTTCTGTGATAATGATCATAATATGCTTGCTGCAGATTCTTACCATTTCTCATCGGAGCTTACTGAAATCTCTGAGGAAGATGAGTGAAGAAATATTTACATGTCTTTGCATTGTGGTCTGGTGCTGGTAGTATGATAATAAGGTGAGCAGAGCATTAGCTTGTGAAGCCTGAAATGGACCGTTAAGTTTTATGCTACATGAGTTTCTGATTCCTGTAAACATTTACGTGGTAAAAACATGTATGTATAATTTAAGATGGAGATTAGCAACTATTATAATCATGCTGGTATGTAATATTTTTTCCTCAAAGCAAGATATGCGTCACTGGACGGCAGACACTGCAAATGTATTTCCCTTGGGATGGATACCGGAAAATGCATAGTGAGTAGTCAGTGACCCAGGCCGCAGCAACACGGTATAGGAGCAATGCATGCGTTTCTGGTCGGTACAGTGAGTGTGAGCCATCCCTCCTCGAGCACTACTCTGCCTCACGCTGCGCAGGCGGCTCCTGCGCCTCGTGCCCTCGCCCTCGGCTTGCCCTCGTCCTCTTCCTCCCTGTGTTGAGGTGCGGTGGTGGCGCTAGTTACACAAACAATACATACATGTGAGATTCGAGAGGGTGCCCGGCTCCACAATTGGCCTGCCCGTTGACTATTTTCACGGCGTCGAAGAATCCACTGTTCACTCTGCACTCGAAGTTTTTGACGAAAAGATGGATTTTTGGACAAGTTTCTGTTCACGCACGGGCACAAGGAGATAGTTCTTGCCGGACACGGAGTCCAAACTTGGGCCGATGCGCGTGCACCATACATATATTATATATATATATATATATATATATATATATATATATATATATATATATATATATATATATATATATATATATATATATATATATATATATATATATATATATATATATATATATATGTTTGTTCAATCGATCGGTGCGACGCGACGCGACGCGATACCTCAAGGACGACGCCCCCTTCGTTGTCCATGGATGTTGTATGCGACACGCTGATAGTGGAGGAGATCCTCCCGCGCCTGCTCCCCAAGTGCCTTCTCCGTCTCGCCGCCACGTCCCGCCGCTACAACGCCCTCGCACGGCGCCCCGACTTCGCCGCCGCTACTGGCAGCGCACGGGCGTCTTCTTCCAGCCCCTGCAGAAGCCCGTGGAGTTCGCTCCGCGCTTCCTGACCAGCCCGCCAACCCTCGGGGCTCTCGCCGCGGACGAAAATAACGTGCCCGGCGCGGACCTGGCCTTCCTGCCGGAGGCCAGCGCGGAGGAGAAGGCCTACCTGCGACACGTCGCCCGTGACCCGGAGCATGGCATGGCCATCGTGCACTCGGCGGCCGGCCTGCTGCTGTACAGCAGAGGTCACACCAGCAGTTTGCACTGCTATGTTTGCAACCCTATGACCTGGCAGTGGGTAGCCCTCCCGGAGCTGCCGTTGCCCGTTTGCAATTGCAACCAACACTGTGGGCACCTGACGGTGGCCACCGGGGGAGAAGACGGTGGCGCCGCGGCCAAGGGCTTCCAAGTGGTCCTAGCCATCCACCCTGAGCATTGGCTGAAGCCAGTGGCGGAGGTCGTCAAATTTAACGCCTAGGGCCACTATATATAAGTATGTAAACCATCCGTGATCTAATTTAGAATCAACTATTTAAAAATGCTCATTAGAAAGATATCATAGTTAAGAATAATTATGTTTTAATTTTCTCAAAATTTACACACTTAATTGGGTATGTGACTAGATAAAATTTGAGAAGCAAAGTTTTCTTTTGATAAGAGAAACAAAATTAATAGTGCCTAATTTTGATGTCCCTTCATTCAGATTTTCCCTTCATGCAAAAAAAAGGGCAAACCCAGTGCCGGAGGCTCCCACATGAGTGGGGTCTGAGGAAGGAAAAAACCGAGGCAAGCCTTTCCCTCGTAAAATCTGCGGAGAGGCTGCTTCGAACCAACAACTTGGTGACTCAGTGAGACAACTCTCACCACTGCACCAGGCTTGCCCTTCGCTATTTTCCCTTCATGCAAAAAGAAATGACGAAAAAAGCCTTATGACTAACGATTGTTCGGTCTTGCATTTAATATGATTCTAGTTGAGACTATACTGTGATTAATTGGGTGCTCGCCGTTGGGCCCCGGGCGTCCGGCTCCGGCGTTCGCTTAAGGCGGCGGTGCGCCCTGCGCCCTAGTGCCATACGGCACACGACAGTGTGGTGCCCCTTGCGCTAGGTGGTGATGCAGCTGTGCGGCCTACAGCCCGCTAAGGTGCCGAGCATGGAGCACGTGCTGAGCGTAGGCTCCGCCGGCCGTCGGTGCCGGAGGCTGGTTGGAGGCGGCTAGGGCTTTGCTCCTCCTCTGCGAATTAGTACGAGGATGGAGCACAGGAGCAAGAAAAGGTGAAACGGTATGACACAGCCACGCGCGGCGGAGAGAAAGCAGTTTGCACTTTCCAGGCAATGACACATTGGGCTGGGCACCTGGCTCTTATGCTTTCTCGCTGGGCCGACTAGGGCCACTGCATGATATACATAGTTGGGCCATAAAAAATTAAAGAGGCTATAAGGAGAGATTTAGGCCACGCCTAGAGCCGTGGCCCTAGTGGCCATAGGCCCAAATCATCCCCTGGCTGAAGCCAGGTGGGTGGTTGGACCTTCGGGTGTTCACTTCGGACACTGGCCAGTGGGAGACGAGACAACTCGATCCGAGCAGGCCCCATTCCCTCCGCCTCCAAGGATTTCTACCTGCCGCCGATACTCGGCCAAAGTGGCACCTCATACTGGTTGTCGTACGGAAAAGACCAGGCCTTAGCATACAACAGTGCTGCCGGTGGTGCTACCGGCTCCATCCGAGTCATCACGTCGCCTGACGGTCTCGTCCATGGCCGTTGGAACCGTTGGTTCGTGCACTCCGATCCATCGGTGCTCGAGGTGTGGGATTCATCGTCACAGGGACAAGGTGGCGGAGATTGGGCGCTGGTGCACGGGGTTGGCGTCGCGGAGTTGATGGAACGGAACCCAGAAGCTGCCGCGTTTCTGCGTGACAAGAGCCCCAGCGATTGGAGGTACCACCATGTCAAACCGGTCGGCATCCACCCGACCGATGACGATGTCATCTTTGTGTCGCTGCCTGGGGCTGTGTTCGCCTACTCCACTGAGCATGTGACAATGAATTTGCAGTGCACGCACAGTTGTTTCACAACTCCAGCTGACACATTCCCGTATGAGCACCCACCTTTCCCGGTACGCATTGCAGCGATAAGGAACTCATCAGTCCAGGCATCGCCAAGAAAAAGTGCATCATATGTTGGAACAAAAAGGAAGAGAGATCTATCAGCCATGACCACGATACCGAACCGGACCTGACGAACAAAATCAACATCCCATGTCATTCCCATACATCTGTCTAGAAGACTAGAGGCCGGACAAAGCCCTTGAGAAGATGAGTCATCTCTCGGCCTACATGCCTTAACCATTCTACTACCCCAGGCCCAGGCACGGGAAAAGAGTGGCCCATGAATGCACGGAAACCCATCTGGAAGATCCAAGAGCGATAGAAATCCGATAGATGGACACAATTTGAATGAACTAATTTTGTGTTTCGTTGGAGATTTTTCCACAGTTTTTTACAAGTGGGCAACAGCATTAGCATTATTGATAGTATATTTTTTTCTAAGTGTCCAACAGTGATTATGGTATAATTTTCTACCAGTCCCTGCAGTTTTGTTCAATTGCAAACAATGTGATCCCCAGACACTCATTACTACAGTTTAGTTAGTATTAGTAAACAAAATATACTACTAGTGGAACCGTTGGCCACCTTATAAAAAAGAAACTGTTGGGCGAAAAATAATTAGCCTTGTATTGTGAGAGGCAGCAAATGGCGTTTAATCTTAGATCCTAGGAGAATACTAATTGCTGCTCAGGAAGCCTTGACGATTATACTAAGGCCCCGTTCGGATATTACGGAATGGCCCCTCGGAAAAATCCACCTTGATCGTTAGCTTTAGATTGTATAAGAAAGTAGACATGAAATATTTTCTGGGCCTGGATTATGCTAACCGAACGAGCCCTTCCGGTAGCATTTGCTAGCACGCCTAGTTCATACAATGGGGCAAGCGAAGTCCACTCTGTCCATGCGATGGACTTATTCGTTTCTACTGTCAGGAGCATGCTGTTGTGGTGTTAAGTTACCTGTTTCTGATGAATTTGTTTTATCTTTGGAAAAATTAACTACAATATTTTTGGTTGCATCGAGGGAATCAAACAAGTTGCATATACTAAGGTTGCAAATGTTTGTGCAATATGGAAAGGAGTATTGCTTCAGTAATTTTCAGCCTTCAATTTAAACTTGTACTTCGTCCTAAATTTGATCTGGAAACCCCATTTCCAAACACGTGCCCAGTGTGGTGTAGTAAGCTCTACTAGAACCTATACAAAGGTGACCCCGACTCCGCACCTGCACTGCACTGCATACTGTAGTTATCGTTGTTGTATCTTCAATAATTTTGTCCAAAAATATGCTAGGAGCTTCACCTTTCATATCTAGAAGAAACAGAATAGAGGCTTGTAGCTTCCAAAACCGAAAAAGAGGCTACAGCAGCACGCTCCGGCTTGAAGGAGGATAGACAGGATGTGGAGAACAAGTTGTAACTGAAATGGGTTTTGAGTGGCAGTAGTAGGTTGCTTGTGAGCTGTTGAGTGGAAGAATTGATTAGCTGACAGGGAACTCTTTGAAAAAGGATAAATCAATAAATAGCTGACAGGGAAGTGTCGGTGGAAAAAGTTGCAAAGACTGTTCCATGGCCTACAGTGAGTAACGTAGCATGCGAACTGGAGTATCGATATGCGTGCAGTCATGCAGATTTGAACCAACGGGAGATAGCAGAATATCTCAACTGGAGTGATTCCGGTGCATTAGGATGAACATGAACTTGTGCCATTACTAAAGATTTTTGTCGATTGGAATTACTTATTTACTACTGCTACTGCTGCTGTTGGGTGATTTATTATATCTTCAGTCGTTATTAGTTTTATACTTTGTTCTTTCCTAATTCGCTCTCTTTTTGTATTGACACTCAGATTACCTGGAACTGGAGTTTTGAAGCACTAGTGTTGCTTATGCATAATGTAAAGAAAAAAACGGCACCACTACCGCCTGGATGTCCAGACAAATCAGATCTGTCGGACACTCCATCTATCCGCAAAAGTTATTTCGTACATGTCCTTTTAATTAATTGTAGATTTTTGCTATTTATCTGTCGACAGATTTTTTTTGTACTAAATCTGTCATATTTTATAAAACATCAATAATATACCACGTGAACATCATAAAATGCATCATAGAACATCGTATGTATACTATATGAACATCACATGTACTATTTGATACTCAGGCACTACAGAGGAGCCAATACCCGAATTTAGTAACCATCATAGAACATCACTTGTATATCACGTGAACATCACAAAATACGTTATAAAACATCACATGTATATTAGTGCTATTTTATCTATTGACAATTTTTTGGTACTAAATTTGTCAAATTTCATAGAACATCATTTATATACTACGTGAACATCACAAAATATATCATAGAACATCACATGTATACTATATAAAAATCACATGTGTTATAAAATCTGACAGATTTGACCACATAAAATATATCGACAGATAACTAGACACTCCCTTATTTGTATCCACAAAAATATCTTCCTATCTATGCACTGTTAATTATTCTCAGCATCCTGAACACTCGTATGATCGCATGTTCCACTTTCCCTACCTCCGTGTGGGGATGTCGTCATTGACCTCTCTTGTTAGACGTTACACAAATTACATTTTATTTTGTTACCCAACTAATGTTGCAACATCCAACTATGGGCCTTGTATGGAAATGGAAACACATGTACACACGGGACCACCTGTGCCTGCGCCTGCGCCTACTCACAAAACACTTGCAACATCAAAGCACTCTATGTAATATACGTCTGAAGCAGATTTAATATTTGGAACATACACTTTGAACGTATGTGTATAGCCACTAAGACATATACAACATCCATATAAAATCACTTGCAACATATGTCTAAAGTAGATGAAACATTCTGAATAGATACTTGCAACATACGTGTATAGCTATTGCAACATATACGACATCCAGATCTACTTTGCAACATCTGTATCGCGCACACAGGGACCGCCTTCGCCTACTCATGAAATACTTGCAACATGAAAGCATTTTCTGCCATCTGAAGCAGATGAAACATTTAGAACATACGCTCGCAACATATGTGTATAGCCACTGCAACATATGCAACATTCAGATAAAGCACTTGCAACATCTGAAGTAGATGAACCATTTTGAATAGACACTTTGCAACATACGTGTATAGTCATTGCAACATATGCAACATCTAGATCTGCTTTTTTGTAATATCCATATGACACACTTGCAACATACATCTGGAACATCTGAAACACTTAACACATATATTTACAACATATGCTTTTAGTGCAACATGGGCGGGCAGTGCGATGAATTGGCGCAGTGGAGACGGTCGCAGCAGGCGAGGCGCACGACGGCCGAGGTGAATCCGCGCAGGCTAGAGCGAGCAACGGCGCGGGCGGGCGGGGCGCGGGCGTGCGGAGCGGTCCGTCCGGACGGACGGACGCCCGATTCGTAACATTATCGTTAAAGACAGTGCATGATGAATTTTTGGCACAGTATTAACTATGGTTAATCAGGCCAAATAAATTATTAAGCCAGCCATACAAATATTTTATATGTGGCTCTACCATATCAGGTCCCATACAAAAATGGTTGCTATTTATGTTGATCATACTAAGTTGACTCGCAATATGATTAGACTCACGTATATTTGTGGTCAAAAATTATTTTTGAACCAAAGGCATTTTTGTGCACATGCATGCAAGTATATAGATGGTGGCCATACGTTACTCTAGGTGGTCATTCAGCACAGCTCTCCATGTATGTCGATTATGTCCTCTGATTATGTCCTCTACTAGTATGCATGCATGTTACGTATTCATGTTCTAAACTTCTGATGAGGCCTCTGTACATACATGTACATGCACATATTTGTCTTACCTTGTGTCCATGGATTAAAATATAACCAGGCTCACTGAGCAGCCGGTGTAGCCTGGAGCAACGGCACGGGCGGAGCGCAGCTCGCAGGGCAGTTGGTCCGGACGCTTAAAACAAATCAACCCGATACCTTGTGAAATAAAAAAACACAGGCGCACGGAGCGGTCCGTCCGTTTCCTAGCATTACCGAAAAAAGCCACTAAACTAAGGATTGTTTCGTTATGTTATGTGCCACTGCTTAAATTGCTTGTTCGTGCACGGAAATGATAGTTTTTTTTTTGTCTATGAAATTGATATCACTCATCTCTTGTATTGTTCTAAAAAATACAGTACCATTGCAAGCTACGGCAGAAATTATAACATGGTTCGAGCAGGACGCCGCAGAAATATAATGGGACATTGCAGACCCATCCAGATCATATAACAGGCCGTGGCATTATTTCCTTTCCAAAGCCCAAACAAGAGAAGCCCAGTGTCGGTTGCTGCCGCGCAACAAGGCATGGCCTGAACCACCTTTCATTCTTGGAAGGTGGAAGCACCAAATACGAAGCTCCGTGGCGGCGGAAACCTGGGGCGTGCTTGCAAGGGTGGCTGTGGTCGGCTGGGCCCTGAGGCCTGTCCCAGGCCAGCCACGGGCCGGCCCAAGGGGTGCAACCCCCCTTGTTTGGTTCTCTATACCAATCCGACCAGGCACATTTGAGATGTTTGATTTCCTAGGTGAGAGCCCGGCTGAGGACCAACTATCACCAACTGCCATCTTGAGATGGCGTTTGGTGTGGGGCAGTGTCAGCCTGGCCCAAAGTGAGGAAGAACAATTGAAACAGATCAAAGCAATGACCACAACATCATTTAAATATGTAATGGAGTTGAAATACAATCACAGCAGTTAAGAAAAATTAAGTATCTCACTAATAGGCCTCAGACATCATCAATACATACATAATTTGCAACCATAGCCGGCTCCAAGTTACAAGCAAGAAGCAAAGGAGATGAACAGATTGTCACAGTTTTGAGGAAGAGATTAGAGAAAACAACATAACATGGAGACAGCTAAGTAACCTTACAAGTCTGTCATCATTGGCCTAAGAACTACAGTTACATTGGCTGCACACTGACAACTTGAACCAAAGTCCAAAGACCAGCAGCAAAAGAGTAACAATGATTACAGTGTTCCAAGAAGCAGTCTTACCATGAACTGGCGCCACAACATTCTTACCATAATCTGGTGCCATGGTGGCACCAGTTTGAGATTGGAACAAGTTAGGAGGTGGTGTTAGAGCACCAATTGATGCATTAAAATCTCTAACAATCTACTCATAGCTACTATACTTCTTGTGTATAGCATTTTTACCCCATGAACCTATTCACTGCAGTCGTGCCAATTCCAATAAATCCTAGGTTTCTTTCCCTTGAAAACCACATAGCAAGGGCTCATTTTGTCAAATGAAATTGTGGTTTATCCTTAGTGAAATATGAAGAATGAAACTTGCCATGAGTACGGAACTTGAAGATCTACGGTTTTGGATCAAAACCAAATCATTGATCTCAAGCCCCTCACTGATGACCAGCATCATCAAGTTCAAAGCAATAGTTTTGACATCACAGGCACTCTATAAAAACATTGGCCTCAGCTTTAGAATGTGGTGGTGTCATTCATATGAGTTAAGCCATTGGTGGCTGCCATACAAATAAAAAAACCAGTACAACAGAAGATCAAAAAAAGTGCAAACCCAAAGTCATATCTGCCATGGAACCCTAGTGCATGTCCATTCACTGCCATCATCATTGGATAGAAGGTGTTGCTGCTAGGGAATGGATGTGTCACATGGGTTTGATGACAGACATGATAAAGAACAAGAAACAACAAAAAAAGGGCAGCCACCTCATGTATATGTTTGCATCATAGGCCTTATAAATTTCCCACAATTGCCACAAAAGCATAGAAACAAAATCAACATAGTAGATGATGAGATATTGCAAACAGTAAGAAAACAAACAACTAGCAGGTCTCAAATAAAGTAGCCAACAGAGGCTACAAATAGTTCCTTACAACAATAGGTCTGCCCAACAGTTTAGGGCTCAAATCCTACCATGGTGCCCTATAGCACATGTAGTTAGCCACCCTCCTAGTAAATAAACCAAAAGGACAGGTGTGAGTCAGCCAAGTAAGCGGCACAAAATACCTACAGCAAAGTGTGCTCAACTGTAGTCAAAAGAAGAGAGTGGGTGAGGGAGGTGGAGGAACTATACATTTCAATAGTCAACCCCCTCAATGGCCATGCAGCCCAGTAGGTAGTGGAACTACATGTAGTAGTTATTGGCTAGGAAGTTCCTAAGCCAAATATCCCTATGGCTGTCACTCATGCCAACAAAGCCCCTGCCTTGGATCTTGTTGTCCAGCAGGTAGGTGTAGGCCACTATGAGAGCCTCCTCAGAGAAGCCAGGAGTCTCCATAACAGCAAGGTAGAGATTAGCATCAACATGGGCTGGACCTATTTCCCTAAGAGCATTAGCAACATTGTTCACTGCATCTGACATGTTAGTGAGCAAGAGCATCTCATCCTTAGTGAATGTGCCTCTCTTTCTCTTCCCACCCACTCCAAAAGTGGCCAACACCTTTGCCCTCACCAACTTTAGTGTTGGTTTTCTCCTCATAGGCATTGTTGAAGGCAGTCCCCTTAGCCTTAGCAGCTACACTATCAGCATGGTTAACCCCAAGGGCCTCACCAAAACCTTGTGCAAACCTACCAATGGCCATTGCATGACCAAAGATGGCCTCCATCTCTATGTAGAACCTAATAGGATAGTTAAGGAACTCAGCATCCTTAGGGTGGTCCTACAGGAGGGGATACAGTTTAGGTAACTGACAGAAAGACAAAGATAAGGCAAAGATGAGGAAACCATCTTAGTTAATCTACCTTGTAGTGTCCAAGGTAGTGCTCCCCCTCTAGCATGATTGCATTGACATCACTGTCCCACAAGGCCCCACTAAGGTCTTTGAGCTTACTTATCCTAGCCCACTTCTCATCCACTTCCTCAAGTGGTTATACACCTAAGTTGGGCTTACAGCCTCCCCATTGTACTCCTTAAGGTGCTTGGCCACTAAGTTCACATCCTTGTCCTTGAAAACCTTGTCAGGCCTACTACCATCACTCATTAGCTAGGCCATCCTCCTAAGCACAAACCCAGAGGTGTTGTTGTTCCACCTCATGGGCCCTGGAGCTACTGGTGGTGCAGCAGCACTAGCAACAGCAGCACCAGCATCTACTGCAGCCCTAGGAACCTCATTCAAGAGGGCACCAGCAGCCACAAACCCTCCCTCAGCATCAACTAGATCAACAGGAGCTGAAGCCCTCCTATTTTGTTAACCAATGAATGAATAACATAATTGCATGATCATGAATGTACAAGGTAACAGGTGACCATGGGACACACCCATAAAGTGGCAGCAACATAGCAGTAGCATGCAACTAGCACATTATGGATGTGTCTCATGGTCATGTAGCATGAAATAGAGCATAACCATGAATACAGTATGCGTAAAACATGGCAGGAAGAACAACATTAAGATTTATAGAGCAGTTGGTCTCAGCCCTGTCTAATAGTTATTGCATAAGCAATACACAACCAGATATTCCATACCAGGGTCAACAAACTGAGTTGTATAAGAAAGAACGTGCATGAATTAGGCCCTAGAGGTACCCCCACCCTCCCACATTGTAGTACAAATGTCATCCCTCCTATTGGACATGTCCTGGGAATCTTGAGACAATAGCTCATGTACAGGTTGAGTATCATGCTGGTTGGGTGGCAACCAGCCCTCTGTGGGCACTACTTCATCAATGCCAAAGCCTAGAATCCAGTTGTGAAGAATGCAACAGGCTAACACAAGCTTGACTTGTGTCTTGTAAGGGTGGAATGGCTTGTTGTCTAAGATCCTAAACCTGTTCTTCAATGCCCCAAAGGCGCTCTCAACTGTGACCCTAAGTGAAGAGTGCCTTAGGTTGGATAATTCCCTTGCATTGGTAGGGAGGTTTCTACTGCCATACTCAGATAGATGGTACCTAACCCCCTGTAGGGAGGGAGGAATCCACTGTGGCATGCATATCCTGCATCTACAAGGTAGAATTTACCTACAAGTGCACAAAAGAGTATCTAATGTGAATGTCTGTGCAATGGTTAGGACATAAGTGTACTGGACAGGCTAGTGAGTTACCTTGAGGCACAATGAACCCACATTTCTCCCAATAGCATCAGCAAGGATGAGGGCATCATGTGCTAAGCCCTCCTAGATAGCTAGTACATATCTGAACTTGAGATCAAAGTCCACTGCAACCATCACATTTTGTGTGGGGTTGTGTTTCCTACCCCTGAAAGCCTGCTGCATGTGTCTAGGCACCCTTACCAGCACATGGGGTGCCATCAATGGCACTAGCACAGTCATAGAAAAATGGTGTAAGTGGGATAAGAATAGTGGTTGACATCTAAATTGAGTTATGGCTTTAACACTTCAATTGATAGTTACCTGCATGTAAGGGTTCCATCTATGGCTCCCAAGGATCTTTGGATGTATGCCAGGTGTAGGTGGTTTAATCACTTCACTTCTAAGCTCACCAACAACATATAGAACCTGGTGAAAGTGCCTATGACCAGTCTTAATTGATCTCCTAAAGGACTGGTGAACTACCCTAAACATTTGGTTGTGTCCAACTACATGGAGGAACATTGCAACCTGCTCCTCAACTGTGCACCCAGTAGTTTTAGGTACAATGCCCCTAGTTCTAAATAGGTTACACAAAGAAAAGAAAGGAGCTCTTCTCATCCTTAACATGGAAATGCACTCAGCATCTGTGGAGTTGTAGATGGCCTGCAAGGTTTGTTGCCTATGCTGTTCAGCATCAGTCTTTAGTTCATACAACAGTGGGTCAGGTTCATGCCTTGACCTTTTAATCCTAGACACAACAACAGACACCATCACAACTACCATGCCAGCTGCTTCTCTAGCCATCATCTCATGTTTTTCAGATGGATCCATCTACATGCATGTACATTTAAAGATACACACAGTTGAAACAACCCTGGCTGGCCTCAACATGGTTGTGCAAGCATACAAAAAAATATTATTGCACGGCTACATGTATGAACATGCCTCCTAGTGCACTGGACATCATCATCGACCATGGCAAGATATAAACAAAGAACATTAAAAAACCAGCACATGAATAGTAGAAGCCAAACCCTAAATCCAACATGATATAACCAAAACAAATCACAAGTAGTACTCACATAAAGCACAAATGAAGCAGCGTGTACGAGTAAACCAAAACCCTAGCATCATCCAAATGAAAAGCATACTGGGATTTGGGGGGCCAATTTCACCTTGGGGTGGTCATTGTAGGAAAAGGCAACCACAAAACAGAGAAAAAGAAAATGAGGCAACGGAGAAGCAACAAATCTGGACAGAGAGGAAGCAGATCCGGTCGGTGCCACCACCTAGCGCACTACCAGAACCGAGGAAGACAAAGGAAGAAGACAGCCGCCTCTCGGAGTCCTAGCGAAGAAGAAGGTGCAACGACGAGTAGTAGCAAATCCGTGGCGGGGGAACGGAGAGGAACCCGCCAGGGAAGAAGGTCGGCTCGCTGGACACCACCACACCACCTCCACCGGTATCTCACGGGTTCGCACTAGTGGAGAGGGAACGGAGGAGAAGGAGGACACGCCAGGAAGATGGGTTGCTTTATAGGCGAAGGATTCGGTGAAGCAGGGAGCACGTGGAGCTTTCACCATTCCCGCATGAGCCCACACGAGCCACCCACCGCCAGAGGAAATAGCTCCCAAATCACCCGCCATGCGCCGCACTCAGCCAAGCCCTAGAAAAATGGTGGATTCGAGCATATCCAGGGACCTAGGCGGAGGAGGGATTAGGCCGTGGGGAGATGGGCTATGGGATGGGCCAAGGCCACCAAACATGTCAACTGTACCCTGGGAGCACAGCCAGGCCCATGGGCCACCCTTGCAAACACGCCCCTGATTGCCCTATTGATCTCCCGTAGCAGCGGTTGCGCTTCTCCATGCTCTCCATCGTTTGAGGGCATTTTTGAGCCAAGGGCGGCTCATCCACGATGAATCGCACCTACCATTACTACAAGGTTAATCTTTCTGTAGCCTTCTAGGAATGGTTTCCACAGTCAGTCTGCCCCTTCTGAATTCTGATGGTAAATTAATGCAATGCTACTGCTGCCGCCGCACTAGTTTATTTTTAGGTGCTGGATAAGTTAACTGCATAGTGTCCTGCCATAGGTTGACTCAATTCTCCAGCATTTTTGAGTATTTACAGTTCAAATTTGGTTAGAGCCCTATGATTTTGGATTCTAGGGTAGGCCAGAAACATTTTCCTTAATCTAAAAAATGATTTTGGATTCTGAAACTCCTTGATTTGTTCGTAGATAGCAAACCACATACTCTTCCACATTCAGATGGGAGCTAGCGATGTCGCCGGCCGTTGAGGACGCCCTAAGGCTCTAAGAAAGGCCAACAACCTGAGGGTGAAGATAGGTGCAGAAGCATATCAGCATATGTGCGCGTGCTTGTGTCTAGAGGACATTCTCTGATCTCGCATCAAGCAATTCATCTAGGACAGCTGTGGAATCATTCTTTTGAATGGATAATCTGGTCTTGCTTCATCGGATTAGGAATTTATGGGTTTTTGAAGAGAATTGCTGATGCCCGAACGTCCAATGGGATAGGATTCCATTGGATGCTAACCTAGGCATAGTCCCACTGAAATGACCTAGCAGAACGACCCATCAATAAAATGCCATCGCGCAACCCCGGCTTCAGTCGCCAGCCTGCCCGCCCGTGCCTACCGCTGTGCCATTCGCTGCTGCATGCGCTTGTCTGTCCCCGTCCGCCTTGTCGTGCCACGCACGCATACCCCATCCCCGTCCACCTCGCCCTACCTCGCGCCCGCCTGTAACACCCTAAAAATTTGATCGAGATTTAGAAGTCACTAAAAAATTGATCTTTTAAAAATTTGCATAGGAGATAACATATATAGCTAACCTAGAGAATTTTTATAAATAAAATAGCATAGGAACATAATAAAATATGTGTGAAACTTTGTGTGTGAATGATTGCTTGACTTGTTAAACTTATGGTGGCACTTTCTTACACACTAATGCATTCAAATTTAAATTTGAAATCAATTAAACGTATGCATAATTGAGTTAGGAAATAGAAAAGGGAATTGGAAATTCGAAAAAGCCTCACGGGCTTTCTCTCCCTCCTCTCGGCACACCGCAGCAGACCAGCCCATCCCCTCCTCCCTCCTTTCCTCCTGCATGAGCTGTCCTAGCAGCGCCACAGCCTAGCTTACCCTGGCCTTGCCCGCTCCCACTTCTCCACCCTCTCTCCCACTAACGCCTGGGCCCCACCCGTCAGCTTCATTGCCTACCTCGCGGTAGGTAGCCATACGCGGCACAACTCCTGTGTCAACACCCCGCCAGCGCCACCCCGGTGTCAGCGGAGCATCAACGGAGGCATGGCGATAGCGAGACCCCACAACGTCCCTCTTTTCTCCTCTTCTCCCTCTTCCCCCTCACTATGAATGAGTCAACGGTCGGTGCCATGGTTGCCGCCATGCCAAGCCGCCAGAGTAGCCACCAAGGCAATCTGGCGTGTGCATGGGCGAGCACCAGCCATGGCGATGTGACCAGACGAGGTAAGTGGTGTGCCCATGTGCTGGATAAGGACGGTCACAAGAAATATCTCACCGTCGGTACAACGGCTAACTAGCCTATAAATAGCCTTGGCCGGCGATGCTCTCGGCTCGCCCTCTCCACCACCAGCTTCGCCAATGGCGGGAACACCTCATCTCCCCCTCCTCTTTCCCCATTTCTTCCACTTTTCCCCAATTCGGGAGTCCGCCAGCGCCCTCAGCGCCGCCCCCTCTCTTCTCCTTCTCCACTGCATTTCTGGCCTATTGAGCGACTGGTCAGTCCCCAAGCTTCTCCTTTTCCTTTTTCTGTAGATAGTTGGTAGCCTAGGTCTTTGTAGTGCGCTGCCCGTGTAAGCCCCGCTCCATTGAGCCGCCATGGCCATCGGCCATCACCAGCGAAGCCACCCTAGGGCACATCCCCGCCCCCACTGCACTTGTTCATCTACACACACGTACATGTAGTTAGCTGAGTAATATAAGGCCTCTAGGGCTGAGTCTAGTGCAGAGCACCGCCATGACCACTCTGGCGAGCCGCTACCGCCACCATAGGCACCCGTTGCCGATGGTGACCCCGCCACCGGCTGCAGCGTGACCCCGTCCACCTTTCATCCACCACCTCTAAGGGCCGACGCCACCGGCGTAAGCCATTCCGATGAGCCCAGCTCCCCCTCCCCTATTCCTTTACTAGCGCAGCCACCTCCATCCACCACCATTCCCCCTCCTCCCCCTTCTGTGTCTCCGCCAGGTGGGACCGGGAGGAAACGGCGTTGCCGTCCCCCTCCGTCCCTGTCAGTCCCTCCCTCTCTCCCCCTGCTTCACTGACACGTGGCCCCACAGATTTAACACCGACGCCATAGTCACTGCTAACGCAAGCAGGTGGCTCACCTGTCACACACACACACACAAACACACCTCACACACAGTGCGGGGTACACTTTAGAAAATGTCGAGTACACCCGGCTAGTGTACATAGAGAGTTAGAAATGCATTTTCCTAGCTTAGAAAAATTCCTAGAAAATTTGTAAATAAACTAGATGCATTAAGGAAATTAACCATGTAGTTCTCACCTATTTTTATGCACTAGAAAATGCATATAAAATTCCCCCTAATTAATTAGCTATAGAATAAACTTCTAAAATACATAACTTTTAAACCCTAACTCCTTTTTGCATGAAACCACTTCTAAAATTCATCTAAAATCATACCCTACCACTTGCACCTAGTGCCACCATATAGTTCTATGTTTGTTTTTGCCTTTTGTTTCACGTATAGCGGTAGTCTTATTCGATCGATATGTCCGACAGGCGACAGTAATCATCAAGAGGTTGCAGACCCAAATTTTGTAGACGTGTTGGAAGGTGATAACAACGAAATTTGTACATCTCTGCAGAGTTTATTAAATCTATTCGAATAGCCATGTACTTAGAATGGGCAAATGCTAGGATGGGATACTATGATTAGCTTTACTTTTATGTGTAATGAAACTGGTAATAGAATTGATGTTAACCCGGGTACTAGTGGGAATGGTAATACTCCGCTAGGGCCCAACCCTTAATTATAATCACAACTACACTTCTGTTTCCACCCTATGGTTAGGGCTTCCTGAGTACGTATGTACTCACCCATTGTTGACTTACAGACCTCGGTACAGAAGAAGACTATGACTTCGAAGATGAAGCGTACCACGAGGATTAGGTTTCCCGTAAGGAGATACGATCATAGGAATGTGACATCGACGCTAGGGTTTTGCCCATGCTCAAGTTGCCTGTGGAATAGGATGCCACTTCGCTGTATAATAATCCCACTTTAGAAATCACCAATAATGTCGTTTCACAGCCGTAGCCTTCCGCTAAATATGTAGCCTATGACCATGCCCCTTGGGCTACTGTTGTAAAACCCTATTTCTAGATATCAATAAAGGTCAGAACCTTTTAATATATATATCTGTGTACCAACCCTGTGATTAGTGCGTATTTGTGTGTGATCCTGGCACAAATATGGATGCACTGAGGACTCTCAAATTGACGGGCCGATAGAGTGGTATCAGAGCCAAGCTTGACCGTAGGACGAAGCCATTGGATTGGAAACACATTAGATAGTTTTATAGTAATAGGAATGACCACAAACCTAATAGTAGTAAAGGCAACAAACCCTTCTCATTGTCGTTTCTCATTTGTGTCGCAAAAATGTTCTAACCCTTGTAGTGAATTTTTGCAGCAATGGACGACATATGGGTTAAGTCAGACTGTCTAATCGCTGAAGGATTCCCACCGCTCCTATGGGAGACACTACATCGACTAGGATACACCGAGTCACCAATGTACTATGGATGTGAGTACGTCGAGGATGGTGTACCTAAGTGTGAGATTTGTGTGCAAATTCCTGAACATCCATCATGCCTAGCATTTTAGACTTGGTACCACACTGCAGGATACATGCTAGAAAGCAGCATGCCAGGCTCTTATAGAGTATTGTTAGATTTTTGAAGAAGACATTGAGAAGGTGCGGGCATTGGAGAAGGTTGAACTGAAGACACCAGAGTGCACAGCAGTAACCACTGTCAAGTACCTACACGCACTTGACACCCTTTACAAAAATCAACAACAAGAATTGTCAAGATGGATTACTAAGGCAAAGGAGGTTGGAAGTGAGCTACGAGACACCATCTGGGAGTTG